CAGGGTTTGATTCCCGGTCAGGGCACATGCCCGGGTTGTGGGCTGCAGCTGATCAGTGACTCTCTCATCATTGATGTTTCTATCTCTCTCACTCCCTGTCCTTTCCTCTCTCTGAAATCAATAAAGATATATTAAAAAAAAAACAACACCAAAGAACTATGCAAGTAAAATAACTGATGGAGGCAGCTCCTGCATTTTATCGTTCTCAATCCACAGAGACCTAAAAGATTACCAATGTAGACCATGAGCTCTTCGGGGTTAAAAACTGCTTTACTACCAGTATCATACTCAATGCCTAGCACAGAGCCTGGCACATAGTAGGAACTCAGTAATGTTTGATGAATGACTACATGTTACTTCTTGATTAACATAAAGATGTTGTACTACTAGAACTGGTACCCTGAACTTGGACTTCCAGCCTCCAGAACTGTGAGAAATAAATTTCTATTGGTTATAAGTTACCCAATCTGTGGAATTTTGTTATAGCAGCCTGAACAGACTAAGACAGTCCTGTATAAAAATGATAGTATCTACAACTCATAGTACATTATTGTGATCAGTAGTTGTAGACGTAATAATCCAGTAATTATTGTCAGTGCCCTTTTGAGTGATAATTTTTTGTTTATATGTTAAGGTGACCAAACATCTAGCCTGCTCTTTTATGAGGTTCCCCCCCTCCGAAAGGATATCACCACTAATACAAGTTAGTAGTATAAATAGAGGAATCTTTTGTTTTTCTTTTTTAAAAATTCCCTACTTGATTTTTAAAAAATTATATCCATATAGGTATTATCACAAATACTTTCTCTAATATGCTAATGAAGCTTAATATATGGTGGGGTTTTTTAACCTCACCTGAGGATATTTTTTCCATTGATTTTTTAGAGAGAGTAGAAGGGAGGGAGGAGGGGGAAAGAGAGAGAGAAACAGAGACATCAATCACAGGCCCTGACCAAGGCTGGGGATTGAACCTGCAACTTAGGTACCTGCCCTTGACCAGGCATCAAACCGGAGACCCTTTCGTCTACAGGCTGATGCTCTAACCACTGAGCCAAACTAGCAGGGCTAATATATGGTATTTAATGGGTGCAAGAATGGCTTTTCTTTCCTACTTGAAAATTGAAAATGACTTTTTAGCTAACCTTTCTTGGAGAGAAAAAGGTAGTTAAGCAAGGTTTAACAATTTCAAAAGTTAATCTATTTCTTTTAATAAATTTTAAACTCATAAGGCATTACACAAATCTATAAATGTGATAAAAATGCATAGAACTACACACATGCAAATAAATACATGTAAAACTGGTAAAATCTGAGGATCTTTCAGTGCCCTAGTTTTGATAGTTACATAAAGTGGTGCTGTGGGGGAACTGGGTGAAGGGTACATATAACCTCTCTGTACTATTTTTGCAACTTCCTGTGAATCTATAATTATTTCAAAATAAGTTAGAAGACTCATAATGCAAATAAAAGAAATTTCTGTTAAATAATTGGTTTATGCCAAATGGGATTTAATTTTTCTAAAGATAGGTTTAGGAGTTTTTAATTGATTTTAATTAATACCATGCACATTATGAAAATTTACTGACATTATTGAATAGTAAGGCAATTAAAACCATAAACCAAAACAATATGAATAAAATATAACCTAAGAGACAATTTTATACAAGGCTTTAAAAAATTTCTTTATGGTGTGTCGTGATCAAGCAAGCTCCAATATACTATATGTCTAGCACTTGTAAAATCATTATCTTTCGTTGGCCTATATATGCATTAAAATGTTTTTAAAACTAAAATGGAACAATGGAATTTATCCCTTCACTGTGAAACGTGCTGCTTTTGTTTTGCTGCACAAATTCTCAGTTCTGGTTTTGATTTAAGTACACATGGATTTTAATATATCTTTATTGATTTCAGGGAGAGGAAGGGAGAGGAAGAGAGTTGAAACATCAGTGATGTGAGAGAGTCATTGATTGGCTGCCTGTTGCCCCTGACTGGGGATCAAGCCCGCAACCCAGGCATGTGCCTTGACCAGGAATTGAACCTCGATCTCTTGGATCCTAGGTCGATGCTCATCCACTGAACCATACCCGGCTGGGTGCACACATGGATTTTATTTTCAAATGAAATGAGATGATTTTTGTCTTTGTTCTTATTGCATGTTAAATAAGGAAAAGCTTCTTCACATATATAAAAAGTTTGCAAGTGCCCACAAAATGTTCATTATTCATTGCAGGATATTTTTCTTTCACAGAAATCTAGAACTTATCTAGGGGCAGATTAGTAATCTTATTCTGAATATACTATCATACTATACTTGACCGAGTTCTTCCTTATCTTTCAAAGTGAAGTTCTCAGGCTGAATAGAAAATCCAGAAAAGGATCCTTCACCCATTCATACGCTTGAATTGAAAGGGAGAGAAAATTACTGTTAAATTTTGTTCTGCAGTTTTCCCAGGTGGCTTATAATAAAACTTGAAACTTACTGATATTCTTCCTCACTCTGAGCCCAAACAGCAGTGGAAACATTTTTAAGAGATCCTTTTGCATAAATCCACATATTTATTATTATTTTTACATTTTTCTTACTTAGAAAATGACAATATTTTACATAGTGTAGTAAGAAAGAATTAATTTAAAATTAGTGTTTTTAAGTTCTGAAGACCTATCCTAAAGCTGAGAACCAAGCTGGCTGGTCCTCACTCTGGTTTAATTTAAGACTGCTGTGCTCCTGGAGTGATTTGGAATCTTTTTCCTTTTGCTTTTTGATGTTTTTGTTTTAGTTTGCTAACATGTTAGGCTAACTACCAATTTTTGGACTTTTCTGTTGGTTTTTTGTTCTCACACTGATTGTGTCTTGTGGGTACTGGAGGATGTGTCAAGCTGCTGTCACTGGCATTCCTACATATATGTCCCTGATACTGTCCCACTTTGCATGGAATGGAAAATACTACAAAATTTTAATAAGCTAAAAGTGTCTTTTGGAGGTTCTGGCATCCACGCTATGACAAACTGCCAAACATATAATTCTTTATCAGTATTCCTTAGCACTATAATTTATAGATCCTTTTTTTGGTTTAGATTAAGAACTTTTAAGTGTAGTCCCTTCTGCAGGCCAGGAAACAGTTGTTAAGGTCCTTTCCTGCCTCATAATTCCAAAACCTTTAATGTCACTGCTGTACTAATGACCTCCTGATCTAAATCTTCCTCTTGTTAAATCAAGAAAAGCAATCCTTGTACCTAGAGGAAATGGAGTTTCACTTAAATTTTTAATTCATTTTCAACGGAGGTTAAGACAAAGAGGCAGAAAGTAATTTTGAGAGAATATTTTTTAATTACAAGATTTGTGGTGACATCTACAGGGACTCTTTTTAAACCTGAAGTAGGAAAGAACAGTGAATTCAAAAGTACTTGCATTTTATCTCTAGCCGAGTAAACTCCCTTATAAAACCTTTTTAAAATCATATAATGTTAAACCTGGAAAGGAACTTAGAATAGGGAACTGGAGACCAGAGGACATTAACGGCTTGCTGTATTAATTAGTAGCTAAGCTAGGACTTAGCTTCATTTTACTGTAATTAATTGCAGTTGTCACAGCCAGATCAGGATGTGACTCATAATTGATCTACTCATTGATTGAAGTTTTAGCCAAAATTCTAATGGCTATTCCCAAAAGTTAACCTAAAATTTAGGTTAAAAGTAAGCTTTTTTTACACTATATATGCTCTCCAGAGAAGGCATGTCTGTGTTAAGAATGTTTGAATTTTCTGTTGCCAAAGTTATTTTCTAAAATACCACTATAGTTGTGCAGCTTCTAGTTAACAACATTGATGGTAGTTTACTAGTGCATATTGTCTGGTTCTACAGATGTGTTTTTTTCTTCTTAACTCCTGTATGACCTCAAGCAAGTCCTCTACTCTTGCCAATTTTTTTTGACCAGAATATGTGGTATTTGTACTACTGTGATTATCTTAACCTCTAAGCTACTGTGCAGACTATGAATGGAATTTATTTTGTAATCTGAGTAACTGAATCTCTTCACCTTTTTTTTTAGAACTGACCTAGAAAACCTTTTATTTTTGCCAAAACTAAAGATGAATGACGTAATTATATAAAGAAAAGTTAGCTGAAATAGCAGGGAACTCTAACTAGTCAGATTTATCCAGAACTAATCATTAACATATGAAGCACTTAGCGTAGATATTTGGTTATTTAAATGAAAGAATGTATGAATCAGTACATTAAAAAGTAGAGAAAAATTATCTGTAGTTTTACTTTAGCCGATAAGTTATGTCTGAGGGTTTGTGTATATACATATGTAATGCCTTTGAAAAGAATTTATAGTCAATTTGTTCTGAAGCACGTTATGCACATAGTAATGAAGGTAATCCAAGATTTATGTAATATATTTTGTATATATCTTCCATTTAAAATTTAAAGTTGCTTGGCTGGTGTGCTCAGCAGTTGAGCATTAACCAGTGATCCAGGAGATAGATCATGGTTCGATTCCCAGTCAGCGCACATGCCCGGGTTGTGGGCTCGATCCCCAGTAGGGGGTGTGCAGGAGGCAGCCAATCAATGACTCATCATTGATGTTTCTGTCTCTCTCCCTCTCCCTTCCTCTCTGAAATCAGTAAAGACATTTAAAATATAAATAAATAAATCAAATTTAAAGTTATTCTGAAAGCAACAAAATGAATGAACAAGAAAAGCTCAGACACAGACAACACAGAGGGAAGCGGGTTTGGGGAATAGTAAAGGGTAAAGGAGGTCAGATATATGGTGATGGAAGATTTGACTCTAGGTAGTGGGCACAGAATGCATTATACAGATGATGTATCATAGAATTGCACACATGAAACCCATATAATTTTATTAACCAAAGTCACCCCAATAAATTTAATTTAAAAAATAAATAAAATGAAACATAAGCATTGAAAACTTTTTTAACTTGTTGTAAGTCTAGATTAGAGTACCAATCCCGCTAGTTAGCTGTGAGACCATTCATATGTCTTCACCTCACTCATCTTTCATTTTCTTGTAAAATAAAAGGTGGTATTTAGATCTCTGTAGCTTTAAAATATGAAGACTGTATGTAATTGCAGGTCTTCAAATGATAATTATCTTGGTTGAACTTACGCTTGTATTAGTTATGGTTCACACATTTTACCTCGGTTTACAGTTTTGTCCCGTTTTCTCCCAAGAGCTCAGTGGTTCAATAGGAGCCCCAGATGTCAAATTAAACCTTGGTGGAGATTTTATCAAAGAATCTACAGCTACTACATTTCTGAGACAGAGAGGATATGGCTGGCTTTTGGAAGTTGAAGATGATGATCCTGAAGATAACAAGCCACTCTTGTATGTAAAAATATGTATTTTTTGGTTTTTAGAGCTAGTCTGTGGGATGATTATATTCTTTCATTATTATTTAAAGATAAGTATGGAAAAGCTAACCTTTTTGGTCAAAAGTTTTAGCTATTTTCAGTTTTACTAGTGATTAGAAAGACTGAAATAATGAGAGAATATTTTTAACGTAGTAAATTGCAAAAGTTAAAGGTTGCGTGTTCGATTCCTGGTCGGGGCACATACCTAAGTTTCGGGTTTAGTCTCCTATGAGGGCACTTATCACTTGGAAAAAACCTGAAGAATTTAACAGTTTTGAAAAGAAGAACCTATAGCTTTATAAAATTGAGGTATTACCAAGTTATTCTCTGTAGTAATTATTGGTAGATGAGGTGCTAAAACATCTTATTTCTATGTTAATATACCATATTTCATCAAATCTAAGACACTATGGATTATAAGGTGCAATTATTTTACATTTATCAATAAGAAAGAAAAAGTGCTTAAAACAGCATAAAGCTAGGACATCAAAGGGCTATCTTGTTGGTATAAGGATAAATGAGAAATAACTCAACATACAAAAAAGACAGTAAGGGGGTTTATTTGTCTCAATTTGGCACTGGATAGGTGTTGGAAGAAAATTTTCACCTGAGAATGTAAACCCTATACCAGTTCTCATATAGGATTGCAGTCTTAGTTATCAGTATGATCAAAAAAAGTCTCAAGCAGAGAATTTTATTTAAAGTCCCAAATTGGTAGTACCTTCAGGAGACTGGCAAAAGGAGAGGCAGATCTTGGGAGCACTTGGCTTCCCTTCAGGCTGACAGCAATTGTAAGACACCAGCGATTGAGATTCATCCCAACTTTAGAGATGTTGAAATGTTGAAAATATACACCTTGGAATCAGTGATATATGGTACTTCTAATGCAAATATTTTGTTGACCTATAGAGACTATACCATTATATTTAAATTTAAGTTCTACAACTGTCTCAGAATTCATGAGTGTTGTGTGCCTTTTAAGAATTTTTACTTTACAATTACAGGGAAGAATTGGATATCGATCTAAAGGATATTTACTACAAAATCCGATGTGTTTTGATGCCGATGCCATCACTTGGTTTTAATAGACAAGTGGTGAGAGACAATCCTGACTTTTGGGGTCCTCTGGCTGTTGTTCTTTTCTTTTCCATGATTTCATTATATGGACAGTTTAGGGTAAGTATACCTTTATATAAATTCTAAACATTTGGAAGAGTTTTAAAATTAAAGATAGCCAAATATTAACTATAATAACTATATTATACTACATTTGAGAAATGCTTTACCTCTACCCATTATTTCTCATTGTTCATCCCTAGAGCTATTCTTTAATATGTGGGGAGTACCTTAGATTAATGCTTTCCAAACTTTCCCACATCACCATTCACATAGAAAATATTCATATTCATATAATGACTGGGGTAAATAGATGGAACTAATCCCTTTTGATCAGAAGAGACCGAAAGGGCTGCCCATGCCCTTACTGATTTCCCCAAGGGATGAAGAGTTTGAAACACAAAACTTATAATCATGTTCTTACCTTTTATTCATTTTTAGTTCTGTTTTTTAAAATAAACATTTTAATAAATAATTGTAGGGATTCCATCAGTATTTGTTTTTATGTAATACTTTGTCCTCCTCTCAGGGGCTTTATCTTTATCATCAAAACTCAATATATACAAATCACTCTCATCCTGTTACTCTTTCAGCTTTAGTTACTGGAAGCTCTTTCAGATTAGCTTCTGTGCCCTTTCAACATATTCCCATCCTTTTTTGAGCACTTTCTTTCTTTCTTCTGACTCTACAAAGTGTTCTGGACTTTTATTTTACCTGCCTCAGCCCTGGAATCACCCATTTTTGTAAGGAATCCTAGTTCCTTTTATTAGGGAATGATATTTAGAAACCAGAACCTGAGCAATAAGCATACTTATGTAGCTGCTGGGGTGTCATCAATTCTAGACTCCCAAGTAGACAGAAGTTGGAAATATATGCAGGTATCATTATTATGCTAAATCTTAGGAGTTAAAATTGTCTGAAATGTCTTTCATTCTATTACTTGGGTAAACGTGTAAGTAATAAACTTTAAAGACCTCCTGAGAAGATTGTTAGCCTGTTTCAGGGATGGATTTTCCGTGCAAGTGGTGTAACCCAGGGGGTTTGGAATAAACACTTTGTTCTCTTTTTACAGTAATCTTTTATGATAGTTCTTGAAATACTGAGGTTTCCTTATGCAATTGATTGTTACTAAATTTTCAATTTGGATGTAAAATTACTACACTGTATTCTTACTAAGTTTTGGAAAGATACCTGGGAACCCAATCAAACCCTCTATGACCTGAAATTGGGTATTTCAAAGTATCTTACATGGCAGAGAATTGAGTTCCTAGGAACTTACTAGCTTATTTGGTACAAGGATATTAATTGCATGAATTTTTTTTCCCCTTAGGTGGTATCATGGATTATAACTATTTGGATATTTGGTTCACTAACAATTTTCTTACTGGCCAGAGTTCTTGGTGGAGAAGTAAGTGGTTAATTTTGAAAATAGCCTTTGTTTTTTATGGGAAGCTTTATTTTTGATACTGCAGATACCATCAGTGGCTATATTCATCATAAATGTTTCTTGTCCTAGAATTGCTTTTAAGTTGTGCTACTTTAACAGGATCAACATATTAGTGTTGTACATATTCAATAATGTATGAGAAATTAAGTAGAAAGAATATCCCATTCCACTCATAAGTAACTGACAGCTTTTCAGGGAAGCATACAATTTATTCTCTGTTACAACAATTCTCAAACTTTTTGATCTCAGGTTCCCAAAGCAATTTATTTATGCAGGTTATATTTATCATATTTACTATGTCATAAATTAAAATCAAAATTTTAATATATATTTATTCATTTAAAACTAAAAAATAAACCAGATTCACTTTAACATAAATAATACATTTTAATGAAAAATGACTATTTCACAAAACAAAGAAGTTAGTGAGAAGAGTGGTAGTGTTTTACATTTTTGCAAGTACTGTAGTTCCCTCTTATCTGCGGTTTTGCTTTCTGCGGTTTCAGTTACCTGCAAGCAGCTGCCATTCAAAAATATTAAATGGAAAATTCCAGAAATAAACAATTCATAAATTTTAAATTTCATGCCATTCTGAGTAACATGATGAAATCTCATGCCATCCTGTACAGGGAGTGGATTCATCCCTTTGTTTAGTATCCATGCTGTATACACCTGCCTGTTACTCACTTAGTAGGGTACTAGAGTATCAGATCAGTTATCAGAGAGAGAGAGACCACATTCACATAACTTTTATTACAGTATAGTATTGTTAATAATTCTATTTTATTGTTAGTTATTGATGTTAATCTCTTTTTCTACCTAATTTACAAATTAAACTATCGTATGTATGCATAGGAAAAAACATAACACAGTATATGGTAATTTGAAATATAATGGGTATAATATATCATGATCTCTTCTTAATTCTCACATTTCTGTAAGTATAACAAAGAATACATAATGTTCAATAGTGATTTAAACGAGTATCTTGATTTCTATGACATTTATTTAAATATTTAAAAATTCACAGGTTGCATATGGCCAAGTTCTTGGAGTTATAGGATATTCATTACTTCCTCTCATTGTAATAGCCCCTCTACTTTTGGTGGTTGGATCATTTGAAGTGGTGTCTACACTTATAAAAGTAAGTAGTATGTATTATAAAAAGTAGTTTACTATTTTCCAGTAACAAAAGCATAATAGTTCTCTGGCTGAGAATATCATAATCCATAATTCTTTATCAAACAATTAATAGTATTTTGGAACAATGATCTTACTCACTGATTTTACCAGTGGTATTTCTTTTATTTTCCCCTTTAATTATCAGAGATTATAATGTATGTCTGGGGGGATAAAGAACAAAGAGCAAATCAAGCCTCAGTCTATTACACTCAGATAATTTTTTTTATTGTTGGATTTTCTTCTTTATGCTTATAATACAAGTTTACCTGACTTAAATTTTGTGGGAAATACTTGTTTAGAAGTCCACTGGTCATTTAATAACTGTTACTCCTATTTGAATAATAGCCTCCTTATCAGATATGATAGACATGGTTCTCATAAATTCGTTTTTCTGTATTGCAGAGGTAAGGAGGACATTAAGCTGTGTTAAATTTACATTAACATATACACCCATTTTAAACATTTACTGATAATATTAAGTATTAATCAGTAGTAATACAACTTAAATTTTGGCATTTATTAATTTTGAACAACTTTGGGGAATAAATGACAGCACATGTATGTGTATTACACAGTGAATGTGACTTTTTTCTTCTTCATGGAAAATAGAACTTTTTAAGACCACCACTTTCAGAACTGCTATTATGTAGCCTCCACACTAAAGTATTTGTTTTTAAGTAGTACCACTTAATGTTTATGGTATTTAGTTTTATTTAAAGTATATTACTCATTCCAGTATAAAAGAAATTATTTCATTTAGAATTGGGTAACTACAGGCTACTACAATAGTGACATTATATAAGCGTTAGGTATTGAGTAGAATGTGGATTTTGGAACCTGTCATTTCTGAATTCAAATCCTGGTTCTGCCACTAACTTGTTGTTTACCTTGGAGAGATACTTTTTCTTACCCTTCTCTGCAAAATGGGAATGCTAACAACTGCTGTTTAGGGTTATGAAGATTTTAAAGTATGTAGAATGCCTAGTACAGTGCTTGACACAGAGTAGGCACACAAGTGGTAGCTATTATTACAAATATTATAAAAGAATATTTTGAAAACATCTTTGTATGTTTGAACACTTTAGAGGCCAAGGAGATCTTTCTTTCCTCTACATTCTAATCCTAAAAAAATTTTTAATTGGCATTTATAGCACTTAGTTTAAAAGTCTTGTAGTGTAGGAGCTAGACCCACGCTGGCATTTAATTATCTAGCCTTAGTGAACATACCACTTTACTGACTCACTCAGAGTCACTTCCTGTTTGTTTTTTTTATTTTGTTTTGTTTTGTTTAAACTTGGGTTAAAGCCTGTTTGAATACTGCTGAGACTATACCCAAAATTGCTAAAACTGTCTTCTGGTCATTTTTAGTCATCAAGTTCAACTGAAAAATTGGTCCTTAATATTCTTTATGGAACATACGAATATATTATTATGAAATGGAAAATCTTATTTATGTCATTAAAAATTTAGGATAAAGTTGCTTTTAAAATTCACGTTTTTCTTTGCCAAGTTTGTTTTCCTAATCCCTTAATCTTCTCTGTGTAGTGAAGTGAAACATGTTCCTTGTTTCAGTCCAAGTTTTGTTGAGGAATATGTTACAGAACTCTCATCATTTAACTATAGCATTAGAATACCATTTATTCTACAACCACTAATTTTTAAAAAATTAAATCTCTATAATTGTATCAATCATTAACCATTTATTTACAACAATAAAAATTGAAACATGACATACAAATGCAATTTGATCATAATTTTATTTTATATATTTTCTGTACTTTTTTGTAGGCTTAAAACATTTAAGTGGTTTGTTTTGTGTTTTTATCTTGAAAAGCGTAGTAGAAGATTGGACCATCTCAAATACATTTTCAATCAGTCTGCCAGTATTTATTTTTTACCTTTGTACCAGTGGCTCTCAGTTGAGGGTGACTTTTCCCCCCAAGGACATTTGGCAATGTCTGGAGACATTTTTGGATGTCACAAATTGGGGTGGTGGTGGAATGTTACTGGTATATAGTAGGTAGAGACCAGGGATACTGCTAAACATCCTACAATGCATAGAATAGCTTCCCATAACAGTTATCCAGCCCCAAAATGTCAATAGTACAAGGTCAAGAAAAGTTACTGTGTGCCAAGTCTGTTTCTATCATACTTTCCCTGATTTCTACCCTTGAAGTTCTTTCTTTCCTTTTAATCTGTAAAATGGCTTCGGTAACTATATCAGTATATAAATTTCCAGTGGAAATAATTTAAAATTAGGTTTGTGTATACTTTGAAAACCACAGTATATTTTATTTAATTAAAGTCTTCACCAAAATGTTATTTTTCTCCATTTTATTTAATTCTATACTTCTCCCTATTCCTGGGAAAATGCTGGGATACATAATAAACATTGTATAAAATTTGTATTTAATCTGTTTTCTTAATTCTTAGAAGAAAAGAAAGTAAAGGAAAAAGTGCCTTCCTGTGTCAGTTTTCTTTTAGTGAACAAATTTATTTTAACCATTTGGCCCAATAATAGTTTTTCTAGAAGTTGCATTATCTTAAGTCACCAGGGATACTTGTTAAAAAGTTAATAACTAGACCCTTTTCTTAGAAATTCTGATTAATCAGAACTAAAGTGAATCTCAGGATTTTCCTTTTATAATAGGCACCCTAGGTGATTCTTTTTGATGAGACAAGTTTGATGATAAAACGCTTCAGTTCCAGAAGTCAAGGAGCAGAGCAAGGACTAACATAAGATTTAAGCATTCTCCATAAGTTTTATTGTTTACCACAGTTGGTTGTCAAGGTTGTTTTAAACAATATTGTGAATATTATTTTTACTCTGTAATACACAGAATGTGAATGGACTTGCTAATTTGCTGCTCTGTGTCTTCTCTGTCTGTTTTAAAGCTGCTCGGTGTGTTTTGGGCGGCTTACAGCGCCGCTTCACTGTTAGTGGGTGAAGAATTCAAGACCAAGAAGCCTCTCCTGGTTTACCCAATCTTTCTCTTGTACATCTATTTTTTGTCCTTGTACACTGGGGTGTGAGCTAAGTCATGTATAAGCAGAAAAAGACAGTGCCACACTTGTGTGAAGGCTGGGAATTCTTGCTGACGGGATTGAAGAGAACCAGTTGCTGATAAAATTTTACATGTTCCAGATGTAAAGACAGGTTTAAGGGTTTTTTTTAGAAACCAACATTTTTTTCATATTTAATTAAGCAATTGCAATTATCTGGATTTTTTTTTTTTTTTTTTTTGGTCAGAATTCTAAATTCTGTTTGAGTCTTCATATTCCAGTAAATAAAATATAAAAGAATTGTGTTTTTAAGATTGTGTTGATGTTTCTCCTAAAAATTTGTGCCAAAAGCACCTGGAATGGTAATTATACTTCACTTAAAGGGTAAATAAGACAACATCCTGATAATCTAAAAGTGCAATTTTTTTCTTTAAAGGGTTTCTCCTGCATTGCAGATCCTGTAGATATATATTTATATTTATACGTATATATTTATGAAATAATTCTTATTCACAAAATATATTTCTGAATAGCCAAAAATTAAGATATTTTAAATCTGATGCTTAAACTTTAATTTGGCCATTAATCTTTTTATTTATAAATTTAAATTTGTTTTTTAAATTTTATATAATTTTTAAAATCTAATACATGCTTCAGTATGTCCTTGTTAAGAATTCTTAATAACAACTAAAACAAATTTTGACATTTGTTGGTGTAGATTTGGTTTGTTTGGGTGCTTTTAAAAACCATTTTTAATATCTAAACATTAAAAGTTTCTGTTTATCTTTCTGACCAAAGGAGCAAAAGGTACAATGGATATGACATTCATTAAAATTGTCAATATGTAGAAAAGCAGTGATATTTATAGCATCAGTAAATATTTTTAAGTGGTATTCCTAAGTCATAAAAGTTGCTCAAAAGAGACCTACAAAATCTTGTGGTCCTGAACAATGTTATATGAAGTAGAAAAAAATAAAATGCTTCCCAGCTGTGTTTTGCATTATAACACCTTGTCCTGTATTACTTGATATTTTAGCAAGTATCAGGTACTCTGACAAATGTACAATATTTGCTAAGGGAAATAGTAAGAAATTTTAGCTGGTGAAATTTTGTTGCAAATAATTACATAGACTCTATATGTACCTTTAATATTACTTTGTAGATAAAATATGTTTATAAAATAGAAAATGCCTAATAACTATTAGCAAAATATTGTATTATTTGTTCTGTTCTGAGCTGGAAGGGTTAAACTGCTGTCCTCAATATGATAACGTGGCCACCTCTTGGTATGTATTCCTTTAGCAGTCTTATCCATCAGGAAAAATCCAGTAACTCTGAAGCTAGCCTATAAATTATCAAGATATCAAGCCCATCTCTCTTCCTCCTACCCTCTCCTCCACCCAAAAAGAAAGAAAAAACTTACTTTAGGCTGCAGGAAAAGTGTGAATCTACCTTGGAACCAGAATAATGTGGAAAGTTTCATGTGCTGATTTTTTAAACAAGTTTAAGAAAACAGATTGGAAGCACAAGAGGGATGGAACTTCTAGAACCTAAAATGATATGATATAATGAGGAAAGATCTATAACTGCAGAAGTATAACTGTAAAGTAAATACTTGTCATACCTAAGGAGTTCCTGAGGGCCAATACTTTGTTACGGTGGATTATTATATTTGATGTTCATATTGTTGACCCTAGAATCTTTTCCCTAAAGCTTGAGGGTCCATACTAGGGGATAGAATTTCACTAAGCAATAAGTCAAGGCACTTTAGGACCAACTATATCAAAACTGTGGTTTAATATTTTTAAGCTATCATGTTTATTCATAATGACGTAAGATAAAATGAGGTATTTGTGTTTTTAAAAGGTATTTTAAAATAACAGCATTCAATCTTGGAAACTGCCCTGTTTAGGGTATATATAAGTACAATTTTAATATTTCAAGCTCAGCCAACATCTTCATGTGCTAACAAGTAAAGCAGTGAAAACACATTGTCAGTTTGAAAACATGATTTGTAAACGTGTACAAGATACAGTACTGCTACAACTAATAATGCTAAAATGACCATAACAATTTCTTCTCCTTGAATTTTTATATGATAATATTTTCTAAGTCATATTGATTTTAAATCATGATTTCCAACCTAATAGTTCATTAGTACTTCTAGAACAGAACTAGCCAGATAGCCTCTTCTAGTTTTATGTGTGTGTATGTTTTAGGTGTTATCAGCTATAGTAATCCTGATAAATGTTAACCCTCAAAACAAAAGTCTATATATAATTTTCATTGTATTAAAAACAATTTAGGAAGATTTGTAAAGTTTTATGAACCATTTCTTATTCCTAAGGTCTTATAAAACAGTTTTATATATAATGTATCTTTCCAAAATTCCCCAAATGTTAATTTGCTAATACAGAGTTCTAAATGAGTGAAAATTTGCATTGACTTAAAGTGAGGTAGATATTTTTGTTTAAATATTGTTTAAAATTTAGTTTCTTTTAAAATTTGATGTAATTAAACATTGAATAAAAGAATTCTTCTACAAACTAATAAAAACAGAATATTTTTCATAATCAACAAAACTAATTGAATATTTTTAAGTGATTGTTATTTACCTTTTACATTTTTATTAAGGCATATTTAGTTAGTTTTAGACTTTAGGGAATTGTGACACATTTGTTTTGCCTTTTTTGTTTGTGTGTGTGTGTGTGACACGTTTGTTAAAATATCTTACTTCCATGCAGTTCTCTCTTTTTCTGGCAGTTGAACAAGTTGCATTTATTGTTTTGTTCTTTGCAGCAAAGGAGAACAACGCACACCATGGGGAAGCATAGGGTGTGTCTGAGTGTTAGAAATGACCTGTTGCAGGATTTAGGCTTGTGTTCTACAGTTCTTTCCGACTGCACGCATGGCAGTCTGAAGGAAGTCTGAGAAACATTTGCAACATGTTGTTGGCTAGTCCCATGTCGTAGTAAATGATGTTGCTGCATTGTGCATTACCTATGAAGCATTCCGTGACCTAACATAGCTACTGCTTCTGAATAGTTTTTTTTTTAAATTGGTTTTACGTTTAGTGTATTGTAATTCTTAGGTAAAAAATAAATAGTTTTTGAACATTTTAAAGTAGAAGACTTTATAACAAAATATTAATAATGAGCATCCCCAAACTGTTTGACACTATCTGCTATCTATCAGTGTGGAACATATGCATACCCTGTAACCCAGCAGTTCTCTATGTTCACCAACACATGAATTCAGCACTGGGCAATGGAACTTTCTACAATGATGGGAGTGCTCTATATTCTTTGCTGTTCATACAGTAGCACCACATGGCTATGGAGTGCTTGAAATGTGCTTACTGCAACTGAGGAATTGATTTTCAATTTAATTTATTTAAAGAGCCACATGTAGCTACCGTATTGGTCAGAGCAGTGAGTGTTCATAGCAGCATCATTAGTAATCTCTAAAGTTGGAAACAACCCAAATAGACAAATTATGGTGTCACAAGAGAAAACAGTAAGATTGAAAGATCTGCATGTAAGATTATGGATGATTTCAGAAGCCTAATGTTGAACAAAAGAGGCCAGACACAAAAGAATACAAGCTTTATGGATCTATTTATGTCAAGTACAAAAACAGGATGTTGGTTACTCTTGAGTGGGCATGAAGTAACTGAAAGAGAGTACCAGGGTTGGGGCTTCTAGGATGCTAGTATGTTCTGTTTCTTCATGTGGTTATTAAATATGTGTTCAGTTTGTGAAATTTTATTAAGCTTTCTACTTGTAACATGTACACCTTTCTCTAAGGATATTGTGTTTAAATTAAAAGTTGTAAATTGGAGAGAAAAAACACAAAGAATGAAGTGTCAGCAAAGTGTTGATAAGCTTCTTATCATTACTTTTAAATGTCGTAAGTGTTCATATTCTAAAACTGTGGAAGAAAATGGTAATGAACTATATCTTCAAACATCCTGAAGTGTCTTTTGATACTGGGCAAGTATTTTATATAAAATAAAATATGATTTTTATTTCTGAAATGAAAACATGACCTATGGCAAGTGATATGAATATTGAATTCAAACAGTGATCAAAATTGTAATATTGAAAGTTGAAAGCACTAAACTCATGTTTCACCTGAAAAGCAATCATGTTCAAACAGATGTGCAGTTATCAATGAGAAAACTAAGAGGATATAAATAATTTTCAATAACAAAGAATTTGAAATAATAACTTCTATATATTTCACCTAAGAGTTTCAATTGGCCAAACAAAAAATATCTTTAAAGGACCATTTAAACAGTCACCGCCATTGCCCTGGCCTGTGTGGCTTGGTTGGAGCATGATCCTGGATACCAAAAGGTCTCGGGTTTGATTCCTGGTCAGGGCATATACACATGATGTGGTTTCAGTCCCCCGTCCGTGGATGTTTCTCACCCCCTCCCTCTGTCTTCCTTCCTCTCTCTCTAAAATCAAACTCTCACGTCAGTGTTTCTCTCTTCCTCACTCAAATCAATAAAAATATATCCTTGAGTGAGGAGTAAAAAACCCCCCACAAATTGTCAACACCATCTACTGTGGGTTGTTTTTTTTTTTTGTGTTTTTAAAAATATATTGATTTCAGAGAGAGGAAGGGGGGGAGAGAGAGAGAGAAACATCAATGATGAAAGAGTCATTGATTGACTGCCTCCTGCACACCCCCGACTGGGAATTGAATCTCGATCTCCTGGATCCTAGGCTGAAGCTGAACCGCTGAGCCACACCCGGCCGGGCTACTGTGTTGTTAATGTTAAATAAAATCCAGGATTTTTGGGTATGAAATATTTAATAAAACTTATTAATACAGATTTATTGCCATTTAGATTTATGGTCACACTTGTAAAACATATCTGACAAAAACAAAATATTTGGCCTGGCCGGGCGTGGCTCAGCGGTTAAGTGTCACCTAGGATCCAGGCCATCGGCGTTCGATTCCCGGTCAGGGCACATGCCCAGGTTGCGGGCTCAATCCCCAGTTGGGGGCATGCAGGAGGCAGCCGATCAATGACTCTTCTCATCATTGATGTTTCTATCTCTCCCTCTCTTTTCCTCTCTCTGAAATCAAAGATATTATTTTAAAAAAACAAAGCAAAATATTCAGTCATTACTGCAAAACTTCAGTTGGTACACATAAAAGTGTCTTAATTTACTTAAAAGGCAAAATATCACAATTTTTAAAATAGTTTAATGACTTTCATTGATGTGGAACTGAAGGGATCATCTAGAGAAGATATGAAACCCTATTACAGGTGTTCAGGAAGATGATTTCAATCATCTAGATGATTCGTATGTAGAACTACTACATGAAAACATGGGTTTCGGACAGAAAATACTACTCAGTGCTACGGAAGAAATTTGGAATTTTAGTCAAAGTTTTAGAAAGATTTCCAGATGTTTTAATTTGGCACAAAGTCACTTAATTTGAATTCAAATAATGCAATACATATGTAAATAAATGAATTCCAAGTATTTTCCCAATAAATTATTGCAATTACAGTTAAAATTTTTCTGAGAAAGTCAATATCTGAAGGAGTCAATTGTGATGATAATAATTGGAATTATATTTTGTCTCAGTGGCAGTCTATAGTGCTAGAAGTACAAAAGTAATTTGGAAATAATATCAATTTAGCCTTGTATAATTAGAAACTTGAAGTCAGACCAAACATTTAGAATATGAAAATATTAGATGTGTGGTCTTATTAAGAATATTTAGCAAAGATGTCAATTCTCTGTTTAGGTTTTCCAAAGAGCAGTGTTTTAGTAATTAAGGTTCATAAACTAATTTGACTAGAACTGAAAGTGATTGAACATATAAAACTAAAAGCATGAAAAAGAAAAAGGAATTATTTAAGATAAGAAAGTGCAATATGCCATTAAAACAAGGGAAATTTATGATCTAATAAATTGTCTGATTAGGAATTTTGGCGTATCAGGATGATGCTCTAACCAACTGAGCTACCGGGCCAGGGCTGATAAGGAATTTTTATATATTCCTTTCTGTGGTGGCTAATTTTATGTGTAAACTTGACTGGGCCTCGTGGTGCCCAGTGTTTGATCAGACATTATTTTGGGTGTTTCTGTGAGAGTGTTTTTGGATAAGATTAACATTTAAATAGTTAAAAGGAGTGAAACGTATCGCTCTCCCTAAAATGAGTGGACTTCAGCCAATTAGTTGAAGGCCCCATCCTCCTCCAGTAAGAGAATTCCTCCTGCAGGCTGATTGCCTTCAAGTTGGGACATCTCTGTTTTTTTTGCCTTCTGACTCCTGAGTCTTAGCCTGCAGGCCTTTGGACTGGAACTACTCCAGCTTGCTCCCTCACCCTGCTTACGTTGGGACTTGCCAGCTTCCATAACCACGTGAGCTAATTCCTTATAATCAATCTCTTTGCGTATACTTCCTACCCATTCTCTTTCTTCGAAGAATGCTAATACACCTTTTTTCCTATGCATTGTCTTAAAACATGGACATTTTATCTAAGTAATTTTTGTACAGTCTTATTCTAAGTATACTGTAGTGCTCATTGATTTTCAGAAACTATGTTAGAGAAAATGGTCTTAAAATAATTACCTTTTTAAAGTACAGGGGATCCAAGACTTTCTGTAAGAGTTAAGTGTCCTTGGTCTAGGGAAGATAGGATTTACTAGACGGCTGCAAACTGCTTGTTTTACTGTCTATCTCAGTTTCCCTATTCCACTTTTCCTGTCTTACTAGCCTGTCTCATGGTGACCTGACCCTGTCATCTCGTCGGTGCAGTCTGCTGTGGGATTTATTTTCTTGGAAGCTGAATCACACTGCTGGCTCAGCTTATAGGTTCTGTTGTGCAGAGACCATGTTTTAAGACTATGCATAGGAAAAAAGGTGTATTAGCGTTCTTCAGAGAAGCAGAATGGGTAGGAAGTATATGCAAAGAGACTGATTATGAGGAATTCGCTCACGTGGTTATGGAAGCTGGTAAGTCTCGAGGTAAGCAGGTGAGTAGGCAAGCTGGAGTAGTTCCAGTCCAAAGGCCTGCAGGCTAAGACTCTAACGCTTCTGTTGTACAAAGCTACTTATTTGGGAACTTCTTTCCTTATTTTACTATTGGTCTGCCTCATTAGTTTGGAGATTATTTTCCTCGGGAAGACAGGAAAAAGAGATTCCTAGCTCTGTTACTAATATCGTACTATTTTTCTCTGTATTTGGACCTGTTTCTAATAGTCCCTAGCCTTTGCTTGTTCTGTATTATAGCTATAATTTAACGTGTAATCATTCACGGACAAGAAACATCATCACATTTCTCTGTTTTTCTAAGTTAAATTAACTCTAACCTGAGCTACCTTGGGCCTGGCTAAAGGAACTTGCAATATGGGTGGAAAATGGGATTCCCTAACCCCTTCATTGGCTCCTAAGAGAACCTCTGACCTTAGCAGGTGTCAAGGATGGGGTGTGGTTTATTGAGTTTTCCTACTAGAGAATGCTTTTGCTGGGGGAAGGCCCTCCTCCATCTAGTAGGCCCTGTTGTTCTGTAAGTGTCTTCCAGGACTTCTTGAAGAAATGGTTGCTTCCAGGACTGGGGCAGGGAAAATACAAAGGGAGCTGGGAACATCTTTTTGTGTCCAAGCCACAGGAACCTATTTGAAGGAGCTCTCATTGACCAAATCTGTAACAATTTGAACATCAAAATAATGAAAGCAAAGGGATATAACCTATTGAGTGAAGAATAGGACCACAGTGTGAGAGACGGTGTGTGTGTGTGTGTGTGTGTGTGTGTGTGAGAGAGAGAGAGAGAGAGAGAGAGAGAGAGAGAGAGAGAGAGAGAGAGAGAGATTTTTAAAGTAGAAAGCCATGTAGAAGAAATGATGGAATTAGAAAATCATTTGGCAACCATCATAGTAATAATCACGGATGCTAAAACTAGTGGGTGAAAATTTGAGGAATAACAGTAACCAGATACCTATTAAGTACAAAGGGTAAACTAGTAACAGCAGGGAAACCTGGCAGATACCACCTGAACCAATGTAAAAAATAGTATCACTAATAATGGGACAAACTGATATTACGTGCCTCCTGAAGCATCGCTTCTGTGGTAGTTTTTCCAAAGACTACCTTCATTGTCATGATGGTTTCACTGGATGGTTTCACAGGTGTATGCATATGTGCAAACTTGTCAAATTGTATACAGTAGATATGTGTAGTTTTTTTGTATCAGTAAAGTGGAAATTTTAAAAAATTTAAATATATGTTAAACAGCTTAGAACGTGCCTGTCACATAATGAGTGTATGTGTGTTTGCTGTTGCTGTAAGGCTATGAGAAGCCCAGGTGACATGACGGTATTAGAAGGTGAAGTAAAGAACATGACGGTAAGGGACATTTTCTTTAGATTACCCAAGTCCCAGGAATCCCCCGGCTCGTGATAGTTTACTTTAGTGTCTAATGTAGCCTAGATTTTTTTTTTACTTGGAAAAAATCTAAAAGCATATGATATTTAAGTGGAAAGTAGAAAAATAGCCTTTTATTTGACAAGAATGGAAAGATTTTGTAGGCAGATCATAAGCACACCATCTGGTTAACTCAAGAGAAATCCTAAGAGCTTAGATTTCACATTTATATCAGCCATGCATGGTTTAAGACAGCCCTGCCTAAGCTAAAAATATCAAGTCATATTTGCTCTGCTATTTATGAGTTCATTGAAAATGGCACTCAGCTGCACTGCTGAAGACCCCATTTATCTTACCTAGGAATCAGAGTCCATTGTGGTTTATAGTTCTCAAGTTCAAATGTTCAGCGGTGTGCAAGACAAGTTAATCACATGAGAAATAGGCAAGGTCGGTGTAGTAGTATCTCTGAAATTAAATTTTAGTTCTTTAAAAATAAAGAAGGGGAGGGAGAGGGCATGTTACTGGCATCTGGTGATGGAAACCAGGGATGCTGCTAAATATTCTGGAATACGCAGGCAGTCCTCCATCACAAAGAATTATCTGATCCAAAATGTCACTAGTGTCAGTGTTGAGAAATCTTGCACTAAATGAAGACATTTTCCAAAACTTCAGTTAAATTGCTGCTAGGCATGGGATAATGCTTCTAGTCCTGTCTGTTTTGTTTGTTTTTTTTTTTAAATCCTCATCTGAGGATATTTTTTCCATTGCTTTTCAGACAGAGTGGGAGGGAGAGAGAGAGAGAAACATTGATGTGAGAGAGACACACTGATTGGTTGCCTCCTACATTTGCCCTGACTGGGGCCTTGGTACATGCCCTTGGCCAGAACTGAACCCAGAACCTTTCAGTCCACAGGCCAGTGCTCTAACCACTAAGCCAAACTGTCCAGGGCTCTAGTCCTGTCTTGATATAGAATATTATCAGCCATCCTACTCCCTATACATAATATATACTCCATAGATATTTGTTGAGTCAATCAAAAATCTGTGCTGCTCTTTTCCTATGAGTATTTGTATGGTTTTACCTTCATTTATATATGTACTAAAACTGGACCAGAACTTCATTACTACCTGCCTCATAAGTAGTCCACCCTCTTCTCAAAATATAGAAAGGGAGGAATTTTTATACAAAATTAGAGATAAACTAGGTTACAGAAAAGTGGGGGAAAGCCAGTATTCACTAGAGGTTGAATAAGAAAGAATCAATTTTTGTGTCTTCTAGAAAGTGGGGGAAAGCCAGTATTCACTAGAGGTTGAATAAGAAAGAATCAATTTTTGTGTCTTCTAGTATGAAAGAATTTTAAATGTAATAAAGACTTTATTAGGCAATTTCGTTAAAAACAAAAAATTCAAATGATATTTAAAACATGACTAAGACTTCAGCCCTGCAACGGTTCACTACAAATCTCCACGCTGTTCAGGCCGTAACCACTTACCCTGACGACTGGGAGAGGGTAAGTCTGTCCCTATCCTTGCTTGTTTTGCGCTGGAGGAAAATGACGTGGCAGGAAGTCATCGCTGCTCGCTCCCCGGAACGTCCTCTTGAAGGTGCGCCGTGGCCCCTGCTGCGACAGAGGCTGTGAACCGCCCAGCTCCACAGAGCTCATCAGCCTGGCAGAACCTCGGGCTGGCTGCTTGGTTCGAAGTCATGTTAACGTGTTATGTTCAGTGACTTGCCTCATCTGTCTAGAAATCTCTGAAGTGAGACACAGGTGCTAATTGCTTAGGATACACAATAGAGAAAAAAGCGAAAGTATTCATACTCTTTAGAAACTATTATCAAGTTATTTGAATGTATTTGATTATGATGTTTTTTAATTGGTTACTATATTCTAAAATATCCTGATTGATATGCTAGAGACAAAAAAATTATTACATCTAAATTCAATCCAACTTGGTTCTTTTGTTTTTATTAGCTGTTTTAAGAAATTAGATTAATATTTAGTTAAAAAAAAAGAAGAAGAAAGAAAAAAAAAAAAAATTGCTGATCCCGAGGACTTGAAATGTCACAGCCCAATGCCATTCCTTCTCACCCCTCATCCCAGTGCTGCCTCTCAGGGGCAACTCATTTTGTTTTTGTTTTCTTACTGTATCAGTTATAGACATTTACTCCAACCTTTGAAATGTAAGGATTTAACTGCTTACGTTATCCTCTCTCCTATCCATTTTTGGTAGTTCTATAATCTTTTGTTATTTTATTGGAAGTCTTCATAACTTAAGATATACTCCTGTTGTGGTTTTGTTGTTTTTTTTTTTATTGATTTCAGAGAGAGGAAGGGAGAGGAAGAGAGAGAGAGAAACGTGAATGATGAGAGAGAGTCATCGATCTGCACGCCCCCCACCGGGGACCAGCCCTAAACCCCTGCCCGTGCCCTGACCTGGAATGGAACCGTGACCTCCTGCTTCACAGGTCGGCCTCAACCTCTGAGCCACACTGTCCCGGCTACTCCTGTTTCTTGTTCATCAACTTTTTTATGTCAGCCCTTGTCTCCCCGATGTAGGATGAAGCCATTATCATGCCACCCTTCCCTTCTCGCCGCCTCTTCCATCTGTTCTCTGCAGGCTTCACTTTTGCTTTCTGTCTTTTCCTTTTATGACATCAAGGTTAGTGACAGCGACACTGATCTGTAGCTATACATAAACATCCAGTGTTTTGTCTATGATTCTGAACTTTGAACGGCAGTAGGCAACATTTGCTTTACTATCACTATGTACATAGTAGTGCAGAGACCGGTGCTGCCCCAGGAAAACATTTCCTCGTTCATGGGTCCACTTTTTGACCCTTCTGCCACCCAAGAGAGAATGCCGCTTTCCTTAAATTCCATTAGTTGTTCAAAATCGAGAGATATTTTAGTTTGCTTCATATCTGGACTGTGGCTTTCTTGTGATGTTTTTCTTACAAATTCCATTTGCCTTTCTTTTTCCCTACCGAAAAGAAGAAATATGAGCCTCCCTTACCCATCTACGACATGAAACGCATCCCATCCTCACTGTTGAATACATGCTCCGTGGGCCCTGCTGACTTTGTCCTGGGGAGAGGGATGGCCTCCAGCTCTGCGTCATCTTGGCTTTCCTTTCCCCTGGGCTTTTGGTCGATTGCTGTGTTCCTGTATCCTAATGGAGATCATCTTCTTGATTCCTCTTTCTGGGGAAAAAAAAAGTGATACGTATCCATGTGAATTTCTTGTACTTAACTTCCAACTTCCTTCTTGTATTCTGTGCAAGAAAAGCTCCAATTTGCTTTTTAAGGTAGGTGTAATATGAATTCCTTAACTTAGAGCAACCATTGGTTCTCTATTTGGTGGGATAATAATTTAAATAAAATGAAGAAACCTAATATAAATTTTGCAGCATATAAGTTGCCACCACTTTCAGAGATGGAGGGTTAGCCTGATTGATTTTGTCAAATGATCTTTAACAGTATTTTCCAATAATGATAGATTGACTCAATTTAAGGGTGTTGATACAATCATTACAGCTACATAAAGAAAAGACTTAAATTATAAACAAAATTTTTATTTTTAAATAATGGACATGAGATAAATTGTTATTTAGCCTGAAGAATTTAAGCAATTTTAACATTGAAATGTTTTAAAAATACTGTTTCTTAAAATGTTAAAGTTTACATATATGTAAATATAACTTAGAATAGGCTTGATTTAGGAGCCTGGGACTAAAGGCATGTAAAGTTTGAGGCTTTTCAAAGGGATCTATAATCCCAGGGCCTTTTTTTTTTTCTTTTTCTTTTTTCTGTTTCTGTTCTGCTTGTTTGTTTATTTTGTTTTATAGATTCAATTGTTGATAGATATGTATTTATTGTCACTTTATTGTTCATATTTTTAATCTTTCCCCCCTTATTTTTAAAGAAGACCCTTTAACATTTCTTGTAATACTGGTTAGATGATGGTGAACTCCTTTAGCTTTTTCTTGTCTTGGAAGCTATTTATCTGTCTTTTGATTCTAAATGATGGCTTTGCTGAGTTGAGTAATCTTAGCTGTGGGTCCTTACTTTATATCACTTTGAATATTTCTTGCCAATCCTTTCTGGCCTGCCAAGTTTCTGTTGAGAGATCAACTGATGGTCTTAGGGGAGCTCCCTTGTAGGTAACTAACTGCTTTGCTCTTGCTGCTTTTAAGATCCTCTCTGTGGCCCTGGCCAGGCAGCTCAGTTGTTAGAGGGTCATTCTGATACACTTAGGTTGTGAGTTTGATCCTCCGTCAGGGCACAGACTAGAATCAACCAATGAATGAATACGTAATTGATGTCTCTTTCTCTCTCTCTCTCTCTCAAATCAATCAATAAAAAATAAAATAGATTCTCTTTTTGTCTTTAACCTTTTACATTTTAATTATGATATGTGTTGATGTGGGTCCCTTTGGGTTCATCTTGTTTGGGACTCTGTGCTTCCTGGACATGTATGTCTGTTTATTTCACCAAGTTAGGGAAGTTTTCTGTCATTTTTTCAAATAGGTTTTCAGTGTTTTGCTCTTCCTCTTCTCCTTTGGCATCCCCATGATGTGAATGTTGGTGTGCTTGACATTGTCCCAGAGGCTCCTTACACTCTCATTTTTTGGATTCTTTCTTCATCTTGCCGTTCTGATTGGATGCTTTGTGCTTCCTTACCTCCCAAATCGCTGATTTGATTCTCTACTGTTCATTCCCTACAACATATTCTTCATTTCTGACTGGTTCTTTTTTATCTTTTTTTTAATCCTCACCCTACAGTATTTTTTTCATTGCTTTTCAGAGAGAGTGGAAAGGAGGGAGGGAGAGAGAAACATCGATGTGAGAGAGACACATTGATCGGTTGCCTCCTGCACATGCCCCACCTGGGGCTGACGTACATGCTTTTGGCCAGAATCGAACCCGGAACCCTTCAGTCCGCAGCTCTAACCACTGAGCCAAACCCGCTAGGGCGCTCTCTCTGGTTTTATATTTTCTATCTCTTTGTTGTAGTTCTCACTAAGTTAATCTACTCTTCCCGTAGTTCATTAAGCACCCTTATAACCAGTGTTTTGGACTCTGCATCTGGTATATTACTTCTCTTTTCTTTCTTTTTCTGGAGTTGTGTTCTTTTCTTTCATTTGGGACATGTTTCTTTGTCCCACAAGTCTTTTCTACAAGACAGGAGCCGATGAGGGTAATCAGCCCGAGGAGATCTGTCAGAATGATAAAAGTCTTGGACATCAGTGGAAACTAGAATCTAAAACAAATGAATGCTTGCCGAGATCAAATATCTAGATAATGTTCTAACCATCTACAGCAGGAACTCCCTTCAAAAATCCAGTTCTTCAGAAACTGAGTCACGCCCTCGTCGGTGTGGCTTAGTTGGTTGAGCACCATCCCATGCACTGAAAGGTTGCCAGTTCGATTCCTAGTCAGGGCACATGCCGAGGTTTCGGGCTTGATCCCTGGTGGTAGGGGACATGCAGGGGGCAACTGATTGATGTTTTGTTCTCCATCGATATTTCTCTCTCTCCCACTCCCTTCCTCTCTCTCTAAAAATCAATTTAAAAATCTTTAAAAAAACACACAAAACAAAATAAAACTGAGTCAGAAATGTAAAAATTTAGCTCCAGACGGGAAGTTATGCCACATGCTGAGAAACTTGGAACAAAGTTCAGGTCAGGATGAGCAGCAAAGCCAGAGGGCTACTGAACACGTACTCTGCATATCTTATTAGCCTGGGGTCAGGGTTGGAATCACCTTCATGAAGGGAAGGCGCCAGGAATGGGGGAAGGGAGGTAAAAATCTATTGATTTTATCAGCCAGGGTTCAGTGCAGGAAACAGAAACCATTGGAAGTATTTTGAACCATTAGAGGGATTTATTGTACAGATTTATGTGCTTAGAAAATCTTTGAAAGGGTTGAAGGAGCAGGTTCTCGGTTGGGACTTTAGGAACAACTCCTAGAACAATACAGGACTGACTGACTCACCAGGACACTGCCATCTGAGGCTGCTCGCTACTTGGGATGACTGAGTTCAAGACCCCAATACCATGAATGCCTTCCAGGGTTCAGGAATGGAACATGGTTCCTGTTGCCACAGAAACTGCACCCCAATCTCTAGGAAGCTATAGAAGGAACACTGAATGTGCTGCTGTAAAAGGTAAATCCCACCTGCATGACCTCACCTGTGGCAGAAAAATAGGCAAGAGAAACAGGAAAATAGCTTCCACCTGAAAAATTCCTATCAAGTCTCACTTGAATGTGCCTAATTGGTGGAAGCCAATTCACATCCAGAGCTGTGCCTACAATGTCTCTCCAGTACAGGAAGGTACCCTGGAGGAGGGGAGAAGGTAGGTTGAGTAAGTTTCAAAGAGCACACTTTAGTGTAACTTGTTGCTTGTTTTTGTGAATATGTATTTTTGTTTGAGTACTTGCTGAGACCTCAAGACTGCAGTTAAGTATTTCAGGACCCAGGTTAAGGTTCCTTGACTTAGTTTTAGAGTGATCATAAAAATGAAACTGGGCAAGACTAGATAAAGTTCAACATCAACTGTGTTGTTTGTTGATGTCTTTCTGCACTTAGAGTTGACAGCAAATACTTCCGACATTGAAAACATGCTAATTTTCATGGCTAGTCTATTTTTTTTTTTTTTTAATATATCTTTATTGATTTCAGAGGAAGGGAGAGGGAGAGAGATAGAAACATCAATGATGAGAGAGTCATTGATCTGCTGCAGCCTGCAGCCGGGGCATGTGGCCTGACTGGGAATCGAACCCTGATCACCTGGATCCTAGGCCGATGCTCAACCGCTGAGCCACGCCCGGCTGGGCGGCTAGTCTATTTTGAAGTGATGGCCTTTTGGAAGTCTCCTGCCAAACCATTTGGGCATAGGTGAGGTGATGTGCCTTTAGGTCTAAAGGAAGTACAAATTCTCACCAACAATCTTTCTGGAAAGAGGAATTTGCTGGAATCAGAAATGTGGATTCAGAAAGCAGGCCTGATTGACATGTTGGATTTGACAAAATCCAACATCCATTCAAGGGGGGAAAAAAACCTCTCAGCAAACTAAAAATTTTCTCAACTTGATAAAAAGCATCTACAAGAAAGCCTACAACTCACAGCATATTTACGGGTAAAAACTGAATGCTTTCCCTCTAAAATCAGGGACAAGGACGTCTTTTTTTTTGTTGTTGTTTTTTTAATATATCTTTATTGATTTCAGAGAGAGGAAGGGAGAGAGAGAGAGAAGATAGAAACATCAATGATGAGAGTAAGGACATCCATTCTCACTACCTTTCAACACGGTATGGGAAGTTCTGGAACTTAACAGAAGTCACTGCAACAAGGCAAGGAAAAACAATAAGCAGAGAAAGAGGCAAAACTGATCCTGGAGCTTACAGAGAAAACACTATCCTAAGAATTCCCTAGTAAATGCTAGGGGAACTCTGATTGGGTGGCTTAGGTCAGGCCATGAGAGCTAGAATCTGGACACATTTATAACACACTCCAGTGAAACCCACCACACACACACACACACACATACTTGAGCCACATACAAACATTGCATAAAACAAATGCTTGATATAGTAAGGGACTCTAAATTTAGGGAGGAAAAACTTTTATGTCAATGAAGGAATCTCTAAACAAAAAAAATTTAGAAATCATCACCCTAAAACCTCTCTTCTTAAGTTTACAGCAAGATTGGCTTTGTCCCAAAGCAGAACCTGATGAAGTTCTAATGATTACTAATAGAAAGGCTGATCTCCTAGGAATTCCTACTATCTGGCCTGATATTGACAGTCAGTATGTGTATCATTAAAATTTACTCTTAGGCCCTGCCCTGGCTGGTATGGTTCAGTGGTTAGAGAGTCAGCCTGAACCATTGCCAGTTTGATTCCTGGTCAAGGGCATGTACCTGGGTTGCAGGTTCATTCCCTGGTCGGGGTGCATGCAAGAGGCAACCAATTGATGTGTGTTTCTCACATGATGTTTCTTTCTCTCTTTCTCTACCACTCCCTCCCTCCTTCCCTTCTACTCTCTCTAAAAAAGTCAATAGATAGCAGTTCCTCAAAAATTTTAAATAAAATTACTATATAATCCAGCAATTCCACTTCTGGGTCTAGACTCAAAAGAATTGAAAGCAGGGTCTCAAATATATTTGTACACCCATGTGCAGAACAGTATTATTCGCAGT